GCTAAAGCACTACTTAGAGACCATGGAAAGAGCATCGCTGGGCGGCGTTTTGTTGTTCAGGTTAGTGCCCTTTTTCTTTAACTTCCTAATATTTTCCCTTGATTCTCTGTCAATACTTTCTTCAACCACAGGAGCAGTGATTTTGACCTCCTTTGACTTTAAGTTCTTTAGCAAACAAACCCACCTCACACCAACCTTTTCCATTGTGGCTTTCACGATTTTGCAGCGATTTGCTTTGTTTTACTTTTTAATTTTTTTTTGCTTTGTTTTAGTTTCTAACTTCACACATGTAGATCTGGATATTTATTTAATTTTTTTTGCTTTGTTTCTTTCAATTATTTCTCACATTATTTGTTAAGCGATTGACTGAAAATGATGTTATTGACTAATTGTGATTTTTTTATTTTTGCAGAATAGGAACAAGCAAAATGAAGGAGAGATGAAGAACGAAGAGCAACATAATTCTCTTTTTTTTTTTAATGTATTTTTTGTATATTTATTTGTTGAGGAACTACTGTAAATTGTCTAATATTAAAGTTATCATATAGTACTTGTTTGTAAAGTTTAGTTTGGTATGAATTTGATTTGTAATGTCAAATTTGTTTTTTTGTTGTATGAGTTATTTAATAAAATTATTTTGAGTCCCAAAAATTTAAATTTTGAAATAGGTATTACAGCATTTATAAACTGCTAGTATTATTTTGTGGCAAATTAATTTTTTTCCCAGAAATTCATTTATACCCAGAAAAGTGTCCGCTTTTCTATTTAAAAAAAAATATTTTCTGGGCAATAGCGTCCAAAGTTGGTCGCTATTTAACCCAGATTTCTCAAAAAGCGATCAACCTTGGTCGCTATTCCATTAAAAAAATAATTTCTGGAAATATAGCGACCAACTTTGGTCGCTTATATTTAAAAAAGATAATTAAATTCTTGNTATCTTTAAAAAAAATTAAAAAAATTAATAAAAAAGCGACCAACCTTGGTCTCTGTTTTCCAGATTTTAAAATATAATATTTGAATTAGAGACCAAAGTTGGTCGCTTTTTTATGATTAATAATAAATAAATAACGTATTTTACATTTAGAGACCAACTTTGGTCGCCAAATTATATTATTAAAATAATAAAGCGACCAAAGTTGGTCGCTATAGTCTTTATCCGGAATATTTGGTCCTTTTAGCTTAGAGATCAAAGTTGGTCGCTAATTAGCTACCAACTTTGGTCCCTAAAGTAAAGGGACCATCAATATAGCTACCATGCCTCTTTGGTCACTTTTTGGTCGCTTTTGGGCTTATAAGCGACCAACTTTGGTCGCTTCTTGCCGGATTTCTAGTAGTGATAATATGATGAGTTTCAGCATAAGTACACTAGAACTCCAGCATAATATACTGGAGTTCCAGCAAAGTATACCGGTCCAGTATAATATGCTGGAAGTTCATACACAAGTGCTCGAATCTCCAGTATATTATGCTAGAACTTTCCATGTGTTGGAGTTCCATCATAATATGCTGGAAGTTCATATACAGGTGCACCGAACTCCAGTATATTATGCTGGACCGGTCTCTGTTGCAGCAAAATAGTGGTTATTTTTTGTTGACTTGGTAAACGCTGGCTATTTTTGAATGACCAGTCCGAAAACTGGCTAAACCGTGCTATTTTTACAATTTTTTTTATCTGTTGGAAAATAATGATACTTTTCTGTATTTAGAAGTACTTTAATTTTAAACTTTTCATTTATTTTTAATGAAATAATTTGAAGTCATACAAATATCTACGATTTGTTTTAGATCATAAGTTTACGAATTATTTCTTTCTTATTTTAATTAATTAGCATCCTAACACAAACTATAGTTAAACTACAATCTTCGTGCATATATATTGGGAAAAGTACAAAACAAGTCTTAAGAAGCACTTGCACATTTTTTGAGAAGAATATTTTTTTTTTTAGGGGGGGGGGGAGGGGGAGGGTTAGAGGGAAGCTAAATACTAGAGATGGCAGGGCAAGGCAAGACTTAACCCACTAAAATTTTGACCCGCCCCGCCCTGCCCCGTTTAGCCTTTTTCCAAATTTTTGCCCTGTCCTGCCCCGCCCTATTAAGCCCTGCCCTGCCCTGCCCCGTTTAAATTTTCTTTCATTTTTTTCTCTTTATTTAAAATTGACGTGCCACTAAAAGTATTTTATTGACATGTAATAGTTTATTTGTATCAGTTGAATAAAATACTCCCTCCGTTTAATATTAAATGATGTACTTTCCTTTTTAGTCTGTTCCAAAATAAATGACACATTTCTAAATTTGGAAATAATTCAACTTTAAACTCCTAATTTTACCCATTTTACCCTTAATGAGAAGCTTTTATAACCGCACAAAAGTCATGGCCCCACAAAGTTTTATCCCTTAAGCTTTTAATACCACAAATTTCAAAAGTCTTTCTTTTTTTCCTTAAACTCCGTGCCGAGTCAAACTATCTCATTTAATTTGAAACGGAGGGAGCATGATTTTTATCGGGAAAATTTCACATAAAAACAAATGGGATCCTTACTTTTTAATTTTATAGTCCATATTTCAATTTACAATCAACTAGCCCAAAAATTATAGGCTAAGATTCAACATCTAACTCCAATAGGTTCTTAAAATTACTATTTAATTTTTAAAAAAGATTGCTAAAGCTTTAAGTTAATTTTCGAATCAGTAAGTGTAACTCAAATATTAGTTCAACAAACCAAATTCATTTGGATGGTGAAAATTAGATTTTTGACAAGTTTAAATATGTGGGTTTAGATTTCGAATTTAATTTTGTGAGAAATTTGGAGTGGGTATTATCTAGAACTATTAGAAATAGTATAAGGAGGTTGTATATAAAATTTGAAGTCATTTAATGGAGATTTGGACTGATTTTGAACAAGAATTGCAACTTGAAATCGTGGAAGAAGTTCGTCTACAACCGCTTGTATAAAGGTGTATAAAAATGTATAATAATGTATAAGATGTGTTTATACACTCATATACACTATTATACAAGATAATACATAATTATACAAAAAACTGACTTCGTCTTCTTCCTTGCGTTTTTTCTGAAATTTAACTCAAATCTTGCTCAAATCTACTCCAAATCACTTCAAATTTAAATTTTGAACTCCGTTTGATATTTTCAATCAATTGGAACAACACCCAATCCAAACAACTAACAAGCTCAAAAAATCTTATTTTTGAAAGCAAAGCTTTGAATGGCTGTAATATCCCATGATTTTTAACCAAGGATATATTAGTCATTTAGTAATTAATCAAAAAAAAAAGAGATGCACAAAAAGAAAGAAAATTCAACCAAATCTAACAAAAAGAACTAATAAACAAAAAAACAAAAAGAAGTATGTAAATGGGCCTTACCCATCGCAACGTGAGGGCATAGGAGAAAAATTAAAAGAAAAAGAAATAAAAGGGCTAAAGGGATTTTGGGATAAAAAGGACGCATTGAAACAGAAGCTTCAATTAGAGTAGAATTGAGATTTAAGAACAAAAAAAAAAAATTAAAGAAGGCTCATCCGGTAAGAGGCAAAGAAAGCAAAGAAGGGATTTTGTTGTCTCAGATTCAACAGAGCATAAGAATTAGAAAGGAGCGCTGGTTTAGTCCTTGTTCCGCAGAACTCCTACCCTACTGGAAAAGTAAATTTACATTCTTGAGTCTCAACGATAAGCTCTAGGTAATTACATATATTTTCCTCCATTTGAAATAGTAGAAATTTGTATACATGATTCTTATAGGACTGAGTAGATATGATTTTGAAATTGGATTAAGAGTTTAAAAGATAAAGTTTAGAAAATTTGGGAAAAACTCATGAGACTTTTCCATGAATTAACTGGGTATATTATATGAATTGGTTGTATTTAATAGATTTTGAATTGGTTTAAGTTAACTGTAGCAGTGACTTGGGATACTGAAATGGGTCTTGATATTCGAGTGGAATAAGAGGGATTAGTTGGGTTATTATAATTCGGTGAATTAGGAGTCAAATATCAAACCTCGAGGGTTGGACATTCTAAATTAGCTATGAATTAGCCTAAACATGGAAATTAACATGAGATCGATATTATGTAATTATAGATTGATTGGAGGAATTTGTGCGAATTGCTCGAGGTGAAGCATTTGGTATTTCGGCACGAGTACTGTGAGTAGTAATCTTACCACAATTTATTTTTTTATAACCTGCATGATTTATATATGATTTTGAAAATAAATGTATTACCGATGCTTTGAAATTGCATGTGGGACAAGTTCTTTACTTGATATGATACCGAACAGTTTACTTGAGATGTTTACCGATTAATCTAAATATTTTCACTGTTACTAGATATGTTTTACCGTTACTTGAGATGTTACAGTTATTTGAAGTATTCTCACTGTTACTAGATATGTTTTACTGTTACTTGAGACATGATTATTGTTACCGAAATAAAATTACAAGATTTGATAAGGAATGATATGCCCTTTATTATTTTGAAAATGCTTTTGTACGAGTATTTACTATTTACAAGAAAGAGTATAAATGGGAGGAGAGTTTGAAGGATCCCGTAGCTAACGGCGGCTTCGTTAGACCTGGTGCACCTTGTATTTACAGATTACCGATTACAGTTATAGCCCTCGCTAGTGGGAAGGTAGAACTAGCATACAGTTATAGTTTTCCCTCGAGTAGGGACCTACAGTTATATTTGACTCCTTTTACGAAGGGGTCCATACAGTGATACATATTACATGATCCTTCCTTAGAAACCTCCCAAACATAAAGATTTGATATGACACAGTGCTTACCGAGTCTATTACTGAATTGTTAAATTGATTCTATTACAGGAAACACATGACTGACTATTATTATTGTTTTTTTTAAAGGGCATTTTAATTTTATGATAGTTCCTAATTATTATTATACAGGCATGTTTTCTGACTTGTCCCCAATTAAAAAAAAAGGTTGTGGTTAAGTGTTATTACTCACTGAGTTAGCGACTCACTCCCCGCTAATTTTTTTCCAGAGACAATAGTTGAAGGGCGAAGATTTCGTTAGTCAGACGCACAAGTTGATAGTTTCTGGTGAGCCCCGCATTTGTTCGCGTGGGCGGAGATTTTATTTATTGTTATAGTCTTTTCTTTGAACTCTTAGAGTCGCTCCATAGTCAAATTTTTTAGTGTCTTGAGTATTCTTCGTTATTATAGATTTATGTTGAGTATCGCCCATTCTTATCAAATTTGGAGATAAAGTAGTATTTCTAGTTATTGGTGGGTGGACTATTAAAGGTAGATATTTATTTTGGTTAATTGATAAGGTCATTGTCATTTGAATTGCTATTAGGATGTTTGGTTGCTGATTTGAGACAGGGAAATTTTTTGGGATAGTCCAAAAACAGGGAAAACTCTGTCCAATTTTCTAAAATACCGATGAGGCTTACTTGGGGGCACTTGCTCCCAGGTGCCGGTCATCATCCTAAATTGGGTCGTGACAATGGCCTTCAATGGTGGAATGTTGAATCTTCAATTTTCTTACATTGCAAGCAGGTGACACAGGGAAGAAGCAGTAATGGCGGACGGTCCCTTGAAGCATATGTAGAAGATGTGAGAAGAAAAGAGA